GATCCAGTTAGGATTCTCTGTTGTCGGTGGAGAGTTGAGAGGTCATAACGAAAAGGAGCAATAAGCAATGAGCAATGCACGAGGCGAAGGAGACAGCCGTCTACCCATCCAAGACTCCCCCCTCCTCCTCCTCCTCCTCCTCCTCACCATCGTCATCATTCATAGGACCGTCTCAAACACCTCCACTCACTTTACACTTTGACAGGTCTGTCCTGACTCCACTGCTTCAGTTCATCAAGACATAAACTGTCAGAAATGTGTGGAACTCTGCATGCAGTTCATTTGCTTTAATGGAGCCTCGGAATCCTGATCTTATCTTGCTTTATTAGGTCCTCTTAACTATATGACCCGTGGAGGACAACATTTCGTCACTTTCTTTGAAGGTTTACCGCTCTCTCTCGCAATTGTTTAAGTGCTTCCCTCCTTCCACACTCGACGTGTTAAATTTGTACTTTTTGCGAACCTGGTATTCCAACACGCCTTTCACGCCTAGGCACTGCTGACATACCTGTGAAGATGGAAACGAGTCTGGAACTGAGGGAGTACGAGACACGCATTGAGGAGTTGCGAGCTTCAGAAAAGTTGTTGGCTGAGCTCAATGAGACGCTGGAGATGAAATTAAAGAAAACGGAAGCACTACGAGCTCAAAGGTTAGTGCAGTCAATCAGTTCTACCACCTTAAATCCCAAAATATGGTTTAAAGCTATATATTTCATCCCCTTTTTTGGTTGTGATGTCCTAAAAGTTGTCATTAGTCTCTTGAAATGGTCGAGCCCTCGGGAACGACTCTCACGCAACCGTCCAAATGGCCGTTTAACATTTTGGGCTCGCGACAGAGTCGCAATAAGCACTCCCTTAATTAATCCAGTAAACCAACCCTTTGCAGAGTAAAGAAGACATGTATGACATGCGATTTTAGAGGTCAAGACAACTAGCATTACATTTGACAGACAGAACCTACTTCCAATTCCTCTTCCATCCCCTCCCCCTTCTCACTCCCCTCCCTCCAACAAGGACGGTTCTCTCACCCCTTAAGTGCATAGCTATCGAAAGCAGTACTTGGTCGTTTGAGAGGGTAGAAAGTGAGTGTCTCTCTTTGTCATGGGACAGAAGAATCCAACGTCTTTGTGTCTCTCTCTTTGATCCAGGGAGCAGGAGCTGCGAGGCATGGGCATCGCCCTTCACGCCGACGGTGCACTGACCGGTGTCTTTGCCCCCAAGGTGAGGCGCACAAATTTATGCATATCCACCTTTTTGACTGATGTAAACCGTCTCTCACTGTGTGCTTGATGTGCTCGTCTTTTAGACACCAAATTTGGTGAATTTGAACGAAGATCCCACAATGTCTGAGTGCCTGATATACTACTTAAAAGAGGGCACGACTCGGTGAGCTTCTCTAATCTCCTTTTGTTCTAACAAGTCTACCGATTTTCTGAGGTGCTCTCCATCGAAACGCTTCTTTTTCTTACGTTTACCGTTCTCGTGTAGATTGGGTCACCTAAACGAGGGCGATGACCTTGACATTGGCCTGCTCGGAAGTTTCATCAAGCCACATCACTGCAACTTTATGCTGAAAGATAGTACGTTTTTACACTAAAAAAGTTACTTCCTTTCCTAGGTTTCACCAGTTCAAATCTACACGCGTTTTAATTTAGAGTCCCCAAATTTCGAGCTGATTCGAAATGGGCTTTTTATTAGTTAGGGAGGTGTTTTCTAATTACTGGATTGAGGGGAAAAATAAAGTTGAAGTTTATGGAAGACGAGTTACTTGAGGTGTAGTTATGAGACATTCGAGACATGTTTACCCTCGACACAAAGTAAAAAGGTGAGAAAGAAGTCTTTTGTTGCAATCAATTTATTTCATAATTTCTGTGTCCGCCTTACCTACGGCGATTGGGTGTTGCGCAACTACCAACATGGGACAAAATCGGCTGTCTGGGAGGAGGTTCGTCTATGCAAATGGGATAGGGAATTGCTCTTA